TTTCATCTTCTCAAAAGAAAAGTAGCTCTTCCTTGGCACCGTATTCAAACTGCCCAAACTCTTTTGAGAACGCTAGACTAGTGTGATGCTTAGCTCTCATTAAATGCTACACAGCCTGGCTTCAGTTCCCATTTGATGTTTGCAGCTGGATGCGGAGTGTAGTCTTTCAGCTTCCAATGCTATTCCTTCCATATGTAAATAGCAATTGTATGAGTTCCATTCTTTTGTTTTCCCTCTTCAGTTTGATGATTGTAGAACCCTTTTAAGGGGCAGTTGAAGGAAAAAGGTCTCCTAAAGAGCCATCCAGTAAAATGACTTGGTTATTTGATATGATTAAAGACAGCTGAAATATGACTGAAGCACATTTTGCAAGACAAAAGTGGTACTGTAGCCAGTGGAAGAATTTTGACAGTCCTAAATTTATCTCCTTTGGAAATTACAAGTCCACAATTAGTTACTTAAATTAGTAATAAAACAGATTCTTGGATTAATATATAGCACTGAGATCTGATACAGTGGCATATGCAAGATCCTATCTAGTTGACTAGGGAGTCAACTTCATCACTTCTCAGCTTAACTGTGGCAATTCAGTATATGTGGCATGAAGTTGCCAGCATTAAAGAAACGTCAGGTCTGTCATAATACTGTCCTGCTGTGGCATGCTGGGTGTCTATACAGAAGTGATGATTAAGATACATCTATGTGGAGACTAGTCTGAGAACATCTCTTCCAGAGACTACTTGAGAACTCTCCACCACATGGTCCAACTCTCCAGATTTATTGACCTTTGTTTCTTAATGAGATAAAACATATAGCAAAGCGTGTGTGAGAGATTACACACACATACTGGATTTTTTTTTTTAAGAAAGGAAGCCTTGCTGTGTCTGATCAATGTACTTGACTGCATGTGCTTCTTTTGAGAGCGAAAGATGTTAGCTGTGTTGTTTAATGATGATTACTGCAAGTCTAGTTTAAGAGCTTGCATAGGCTAGAACTGTTGGAACTCTTCAGCTGTTATACAGACTGGCATGTACTCAGTCTGTCAGGTGTAAATTCAGCATATGCAAGTGATGCAGTTGCTAACCTCCAGCATGCCTGCTGCTAGATATTTTTCACTTACCTGATGTTTGCCTGGAGTCTAAAATCTGTATGTGGTTCTGTTTTCAAATATTCTAGCCTATGATGTAACCTAGAAGTCACCATTAACACCTAAATCATACCTGATTTCAACTGCTTGGTAGCTGTGTTTTCACACTCAGAATCTCTCACTGTCCTCACTTCCATCAAAGCAGGCAATTAAGTGGGAAACTTGGGACTCTGCTGTCTGCTTATTTTTACCATGAAAGCCTTTGTCATTTTATAGAAACTTTCATTTTTGACTCAAGTACAGTTTTATTTCTCTTACTCATAAGACTTATGCGTGTTTCTAAAATGGTGTATGTAGAATTGGAAAACAGGATGAGAAGGGACATCAAGAGGTGATCTGCTCTAAACACCAGCCTAAGGAGAGGCTTATCTGTCTACATCTGTGTTAATCTTCATACATACCAATATTTTCTTGTAAAACCTCTATGATTAAGATTCTAAAACATCCCTGGTCAACACCACTTGCAATACTTAACTATCCTTACTACTAAAAAGGGCTTGATAAGGTAGAGTGTTTTATTTTGATATTTTTAGTACCTAATATGAATTTCCCTTAAGCTTATTAGTTGTCCTATCCACTGTGGACATGAAAATTGCTCTGATTTCATGCAGCAACCTTTTGCACATTTGATGAGTACAAAAGACTGCACCATCACATTTCTCCTCCATTTTTTTCCTTTCCTCAGATAAACTAGTTAAATTCAATTCCTTTTTTTTTTGTTAGAGAGCTAGAAACCATGATCATAATCCTGATTTCCCCCCCCCCATTTTTCTCAGAACTGTCTTGAAAGATAGAGCCCAAAACTCTACACAGTACTACTAGGTTTCTTTTGTAAAGTTGCTTTGTAATACTGTTTACATGGAGAGGATCAGATACCACAGTCAACTTGTCTAATAATTCCTCTAGAGCCTGTGGGACTCTTTGTGCCTCTGCTGAACTTTGTTCCAGTCTCAAAACAAGCTGTGCAGTGACACCATCTGGTTTATTTTTGCCTATATAATTCTTCCTCATTTAAATTGCTGTTTCAGCCTGATTCACTTTAATCTGCTTTATGAGAGCCCTCTCCTTTGCTTGTAATAGCTTGCTTTGTGTCCTCATTTGGTGCTCCCCACACAGGACTTCTTGTTTTTAGAAACAGAATTGACATTTCTCCCACAATAAAAGTTTGTGGGGAGGGGGCAATATAAGTTATCAGGCTAACTGATTTTGAAAACGTAGACAAGCTTTTTGGTACAGAAGACCTTCAGTTCTGAAATAGCTGCAAACTTTGAAGCTAAACAGGGGTTGAGAGCAGTCATTCTAAGTTTAACATAATTAACTTAATCAGATAGTTTAAGAGAATATTTCTGCTGCTTAAGTTTGAAATTATGAATAAAAGAACCATGACAAGGATTTTTTTCCTTTTTGTTACGATTCACTTAGAGATTCTCCATGATCATGGTTTGTTTAGAAAAGCCTTGAAAAGAACTCATTAACGCAATAAAGATAAAGGGAAAGGCAGAGGCAGGGTAGCTCTCTTGTCCTTTTTGGTGTTCCAGCATGGGCAATTAGAAATGGGTAAGCTCTTACTGAATTAGGAATTAGTAAGTTTCAATTGCTTGTATTGTCCGTGACTACCATGAAATACTACATTCCTGAAAGACAAACATGAAAATCTGGTAACTCCTCTCTTTTTTCTCTATAAACAAACACCTGTAGTATTTTGCTGCCTGAGGTAATCATTTTCATATCGCCAGTCTTTCTGATAATCGAACATGAATGTGACCTGTCTTTGCAGCATTTGATTGTACAGTCTATGATTGGATGAGAAGAAAAGTCACAGTTACCTCAGTCAAAACCGGTGAAGATTAATGAAAGGGAAAAAGATCATGTTATTGTTTTTTCTTGAAGAGAAAACTAGTCATTCTCTGCTTTCTGTTGCAATACAAAGATTCCAGGGAAAAATGTCAGGAGGGATGGAACTGGTACAGTTCATGCAGTTGATAAGATAACACGGCCTAAATACCACTAAGACTACTCAATTTGAAAAGTCAGAAGACATGGCTGTTGCTAGAATTTGCAATTGTAGTAGCTGAAATATTTTGTGACTTTGAAAAGTATAAACTAATTCTTGAAGATAAACCAGAATTTAGCTGGGAGAAGGAATGATTTCCATAGTTAAGCTACTACTTTAGTTTATGCTACCTGCTTGTATAGCTTTTAGGTACCAGTACTTGGAACCAGAACAGATTTGATTTTTACATGGCAGTTGGGGAGTGGGGGGGGGTTTGCCAGAACAGATCTTTCATTGATAAAGCTGCTCTGCTCAATAAGAGACGATCGCCAGAGCTGTCCATTGTTGGGTTGTTTTTTTTTTTTTTTAAGTGATTTATTAATCAGAGGTGTATTGTCTGACAAAAATACATTTGTAGTTTTATGTTGAATGCAGCAAATGCTTTTGGACAAAAAAGGAACAAGAATTTTTTTCTGTTCTCCATTTCATTCTCAAAAATGGAAAAATTCTTCAAAGTTAATTTTGGTATTTTTAATTTCAAAACAACATTTTAAGAACAAATTAAGTTATGTAAATTTAAATATGAAAGCAAAACTGTTTGCAATAGGTCATTGCTTTTCTTGGTGTGGTTTTGGTTTTGGGTAGACTCAAGACTATTTTGGTTTGTTTTGCATTGTTCTTTGCCTCCTTGCTTTCCCCCAAATTTACTCATTGAGTTTGAACGATCAGTGACTTGTACTGCTCAAAGGCTGTTGTCTTATGCAAGCAGCTTCTTTCTTAAGGACTTCCATGAAACTCAATTTTACCTTTTTTTCTTTGTCAGTAATGCAGATTAAGAAGTTGACAGAAACTGTAGAGTTACATATAGTTTTACAAGCAAGAACTTCTATAGTTAGGCACACTGACTTCAAGGAGGAAGTCAGGATTAAAAAAAAAATTAAAAAAATAATACCATGACTAGGAGATGAAAAACATTTCATTGTTACTACATTTGTGAAAATGGTAGCGATTTTTATGATACGTAATATTTTTTTCTCACAGTGACTACAGTTGGATGTGATTCACAGAAATGAGCTGTGGTGGTTTTTTTTTTTTTCCTTGTCTCTGCTAGTGGGCAGGAAAGAATCAAAGTACAGGGAGTTTTTTATTATTGCATTTAAGTATGCTCTCTCTAAACAACCTGCCTGCCGGGTTTGTCAGGAATCTTATTTAGATGGCACTGTTTGTTGCCTTTGTTAATAAAATATTGTCAAATAAAAGCTTGAAATCTGTAGGTAAAGTTGCACTGATAGCTGAGCTGATTTAACAGCTTGACACTGCCAAACAAAAATCTTCCTCTTTTCTACCTGTGTGCCTTGCACCTCCCCTTGTATAAGCTCCATTCAGAACGCTCTAAGGTGCTGCAACTCACTAAACTATGAGAATAGTAGACCAAAAAAAAGTTCTTTGCCAGGTTGCGGAGCTGGATCAGCTTCGCGCAAGGTCCAAAGAGCACCAAAAATGGCTTAATACTGGGAGGGATCATAGAACTGAAAGCTGGCGCATGGGGAGGAAGGAGGGGTTTAGGATTTGAAGAGAATCTGATTCTTCATGCTTTGGTGGACGTGAGCTGTTAAATTGGCTCAACTCTATGTAATGCTACTGTTTGAGAAGTGGAATTGTACAATGTGTTTTTCAGGAGAAAATCGGTGCCCAGGAATTCTTCTGAGTCCGTGTCATGTGTCCTCCCATCCCCCTGTCAAAACTAAATGAATGGTTTGAGTTGATCAGTCCTCTTAAAGACTACAAGTATTTTCTTGTGATCCACTTCTGTTATTTTATTTTATAGAAAGTCTTGTCTTTTTTTTGTTTGAATTGCAGATGCGGTAGCTACCAGAACCCGGAAGGTGACCTCACCAAAACCCAAGAAAGGCACAGCAACCAGAAAGAGAGTCCAGAAGTAAATAACAGGTGGAGCAACGAATTAAGTTGCTCTTTGGCTCATCTCCGGGTTTTTTTCAGTTACTGTAGCACTGGAATCTTTTTCTTTCCCTTTTAAATGATGAATCCTGTAAAAACATGGACTGCTGTTTGTACCTGGTTTTGAGAAGAAATGTTTTATTAAAATATTTGCATAATTTATGTATACTTTAATACTAATGCAAAATTTTGCCAACTTTGAAGTGAGGATGTGTTTTTATTCTTTATATAGACAAATTCATGTCTTAAAGGCAAACTAAAAGAAAGTGCTTTTTTTTCTGCTTTATAATGTAGAAATAAAGCCTTATTTAGTTTCATTATGGGTATTTTATAAGGAACAGTGGTGGTGCATCTGATTTCTTCTAATTTTGAGTGAAGTCTTATTGGAGGTCACTTAGATGTACACTGAGATGAAGTCTGAAATGGTAGAGACATCTTTTAAATATTTCTCAGTTGTTTGAATAGAAAAAAAGAGAACATAAGACAAAAATCACATCCTTCCGTTCTAGTTCGTTATGTAATGTATTTAAACAATTTTTTTGGAGGACAGGTAGTGAATTTTAGTTACTTTTTTGCATAGTATTTGTGTTTGTATCACTTTTCTAATTATTCAGAATTTCTCTGAAGGAGAGAGACCAGAATTTCAGATACAGGGCCCAGGGCAAAGAAAAGAACCAACCAAAAACCAATGTCCGTTCTCAACCCCCCCCTCAGGTTTTCTTTTTATATTAGTGAAAAGGCCAGAAAAGTTACAATTATGAATAACTTTGTAAAGTATCTAGTTCCAGTGAAAGCTTGACTCAAAGGTACTTCTCGTAACAAAAGAATGGTTTACCTTTTTTTAATAGTTGAGAAGCACGTAACCTTTTGTAAATGTACTTCCTTGCTTGGCTTTGAGTCTTCTCTTCAGAATTGTAAGTCAAAAAATGCAGTGTTTCATTTCAGTGTGAAATACCACTACTTCTTATTTAGATACTGCAAAAATACATGTAATCAGGGCATGAACATCATTCTTATCAGGGAGACTGCTTTATGAAGTTTGGCAAACCAAAAGGAATCCATATGAGCCAATGGGTAGTGTATTTGTGTGGATGTCCAGTGCTCTGCTTGCTTGATTGTGTAATGCCTGAGTAGCTACTCACTGAAACAAGTATGTTGTAGCATAAAATGTTGAATGAATGATGAGGTTATGTTTTGAAAACACGGGAATCCGTTGTTTTGAAATAAAACTGGAATAACATATTTAAAAGATCTAATGCTTTCTTATTTCTGTTCTGACTGCTATACAGACTCATTTTCCTGGGTACTAGCAAAGTGCGGCTGACGACTTTAAGCATAGCATTCTCTTTGTTTCAGGTGTAAAAATAGGACTGCTGAAGCCTCTGGCATATTTAAAACTCCTCAAATCAAACTATCATTTTAATGAGTTCATTTGATCATCAGTAAGTTACACTGTTCTGAAGAACTATTGTCAGGAAAGCATATTCTGTTCTCTCGCTTGTCTTGCATACTCAGTGTCATTCTTTTGTACTTTAGTTGTTTGACATTTTAATCTTCTTAGTAACTTATTTACTGGTAAACTTCCTTTCTTTACTTTCCAAGTTTTCAAGGAGTGTATTTTCTTTTGACACTACCAAAGCCAAATGCAACAAACACAGACATTTCCATATATTTGAAAAGAACGTTTTGAGGTGCAGATTTCATAAGCCACCCCTACCTCTTCCCACCCCAAAAATGTCCTGGAAAAAGTTTGTGCTGGCAAGTCTTCTGTAAAGAAAAAGGGTGCTTTCCGTTCTAGGTGAATGTTGTTTCAGGGCTTGTCTCTGCTCACAAGAGACTGTGCAAAACTGCAGTCGTCACGGGCAAGAATGTCTCTGTCTCACTGTAAACTGCAATGATGTTTAAAGTGTGGGACGGTCAGGATGAGCCAAGTGGAAGGCTGTGATAATACCTGCAGTACTACTGTAGGTATTGCGTACAGTATGTGCTTGCACACATGTGTGTGTGCTGTTTTGCAAAACAGTGATGGGGAAATACACCGCTTCATAAGAGGCGGAGGGCGTAGCAGGTTTTTGTCGACATCCCCATTTGAAAGTAAAGCCCCTAACACAAAAGCAGCAAGCTGCCTTTAGACTGCATTTACTGCTCTTGATGACTCCAGTTGTGTGTAAATATTAGAAAACAGCAGGGTCCTGCATTCCAAGAATCACTTGAGCAGTGCCATGAAGACAAGTGTCCTTACTGGTATTGTAGTCATACTCCCAAGCTCTCCTGCTGTTTCTAATCTGTGCGCACAGCCGTGAAAAAACTGGACTGACATTTACAGGCACAGCAGGGAGACACTTGAGTAGGGAATGTTAAAGACTCCGCTACCTATGTTTCAAAGTGGCCACCATACATGATAAATCTTCACAGGAGAACTAGTCGGCACTTCAGCTGATGGTGTAATGAGGATATTGATAATGAAGCACGGAATGCTTCTTTTAGTGCTTGAACATTTTGCAGACAGATTGTTTATATTTTTCCCCTAATCTAAAATATCTGGAGAGAGAATCAAATTCAGGATGGGTATAAGAGATTTTTTAGATGGTGCTGATTTGATAATTTTTACGGGAGTATTTCCCAATAAGTTAATACAAAATAATAACATAATTCCCAGTATCTGTTGCAGCTAGCATTAAGAAGAGGGTCAGCTGCTTTCCTGAGTAGTTTGACAGACTTTACTCACTGTTTTGTCCCAGTGAGCTGCCAGATTTGGGATGCCATAATACCAGTAATGCAATTAGGTTTTCTGCACGTTGTCTGGTTGACTTCTCAGTTAAGAGTTTCTTTCCCTTTGGGAATAAGACCAGACAGACTGTCATTTGCTATTACTAATTCTGCTTAGCATTATCACTGGAGCTTTTTTGTAATTAGCTATCTTAGTTGGCTCTTAAATTTTAATAGCCAATTGAAGCTACATTTTAGCCAAGTTCCATATCTAAATTGCATTCAGTCCATTAACAAAGTTGGTTAAAAGGCTATTAAAACAAAAGCCAATATATGGTGGTTAGCACTTACATGTTTGCAGCAGTCGCAGTACCAGCCTCCAATGAATATTCTCAAGAAATGGCACTTCCTTCTAGCAAAGGAAGTGCATGAAGAATGACCAAAGTTTGCAAAGGCTGATTATGCAGAATACTCGTAGGAAAAAAAAATTGAAGTATGTCTTTTCTGGAAGAAGGTGGGGGAGATGCAGAAGGGGGCAATTAATGGTTCTGCTCAGATTTGACAGGTTCTGGAAAAGCCAAATAAACGAAGTGATGTTTTTCTCCATTTCAGCTGATCAAAATTATTAGCAAAACCATCTGAAGCACCTTCTGGTAGAATTGTCATCTTGCTGAGTTTAGTTTGTAAAACATCCTGCCAGACATTAAAAAAACTGTAAGCATGCCAGCACATAGGCTCAGAGCACCGCTTCTCTAATTGATAGACCCTATAATTTTCTTTTTTACTGAAGACCATGGCTGGATACCTCAGCCTCCCGAGTAATTTAACGTAGCATCAGTCTGAATTTTTTATCCCTAGTAGCACTTGTTTAAATTAGATTTTTCTCCTCTTTTCTTTCTTAAGGTGTAGACAGGAGATTAACAGCCTTTGGATCATCCTGTGACAAATAATGGCTTTCTCAGACTATTCTGCTTTAAAAAAAAAAAATCTGTACTGTTGTGAAGACATCAGATGTTAATACTGCTACAGTTTTAATAGAGAGTCTACCAGTTGCTGATGAGTTGTTTCGAGGGTGGTTTGCAGTGCCCTGTATGGGTGACGATAGATAAGTATCAGTAGCTTCATTGTAGGAGGTGTGAGGCAAACCCCAGATTATGTCTGAATAACCAGTATATATATGCTTGTACCAGCATATATAGTGGGACATCTAAATTAGAATTTCCATAGTGCACGAGTTCCATTGTTAAACAAGACATAGAGCTGGTGCTCACTGAACGTGAGTCAGATCTCATCGTTTGTAGCTGCACTGCAATATCAAACTGATTGGAAGAGCTCTGTGGCAATAAGTGCCAATTCCTTCACCTCCCATGCTGTTTTGCAGGTGCTGGGCTTTTTGCAATGATGCAGTCTCAAAGGGAGAAGGAATCTGTTTTGTCTGCCCGAGGATTGGTTTTCATGATGTCCTTTCTCACAGGCAGGGACAAAGCAGGGGTGGTGGGATCAACTTCTTTGGAAATTTCTAGTCTCCTAGTTGGGATCTCATGGATAGCTTTATGCAACTACATGCTAACTCACATGCATTTTGGTTTTCTTCCCTGATATTTTCAAGGTTGAGCAGCTGAAGATCTAGAAAGGTGATTCTATGAATTCTTTGCTTCATTTTAGGCCTTCTTTACCTCTATGGATGATACCTCTATAGCAACAGTTTTGTTTTGGTTTTTTTTCCTTTTCTCCTGAAGGGGTATATGGAAAAGGGAATATACTGTTTCTGTGAACTGAGTTTTGCCTGGATGCAGAGTAAGCCAGACAGCTCAGAAAAATGCAACAGCTCTATTCGGATGCTACAGACTAGTTTTCTCTACACAGACACGCCATGTTTTTAAACATGAAGTCACCAGCAGTATTGCACTTGTACTTCTTTCCAGTGGTCTGTGTTTCATCTTATCCTGACCAAAACCTGTCTTCTTTCAGACTGGAGCATATCCTGCCCATGTAGCCTTCCATGCCAGGCTTTAAATGTGGTTTTTAATTCCCTTGCATTTAGGTCTACTGCGTATGAATACGTGAAGTATTTTCAAATGGACCTCAAGTTCCACAACTGCCTAAGCTGCTGACGAGTGAATCCTGACAGCGTTTTTTTCACCGTTGTGAATGCTGCAGCAAACCAAAATTGAGGTTTTGCATTTTCTCAGGGATACCCCAAAGGGTAAGAGAGTTGTGGAGGAACTGTCATTTGACGGGAGAAAGATTGCCTCCTGTATTTCTACCCCTTGTCTTGGAAGGTCAGCTTTCCAACCCTGCAGACCTTAGCTGCTGTGATGGGTTTTTTCATAAGTATACTCGAAAGAAAAGTGATGAGAATACAACAAGACAGCTGTGAAGTACAGTAGAAGTGAAAAGAAAATATACATTTTTATGAACTTTCCTGACTAATTCCTTTTGCCAGACCACTCCAGACAGGAAGAAGCTGGCATAGTGGTAATCTGCATCTGCAGCTCTGAGAGAAGAAAAATGCTTACCTGGCAAATGGAGCAAGAAGCCTAGAAAATTAAGGATTAATATGTTCATTTATACAGAAAAAGTGAGAACACAATAACATGAAATACAACCAAGGAGGACGCATTTAGAAGACAAAAGAGCCCTGGAAGGGAAGGTACTTAGCTTTGTTCAGAATGCAAACTATAACGCAGTTCTGGGAATTGGTGAATTGCACAGCTGAATGTTAAAAGAAATTGCTTCATACCACAAGAA